GACTGCCGTATTTGGCTTAACATAAGAAATCACAACATTTTACAGTATATCTTGTGCCCTGCTTTCAGACATTATCCTGATGAGAAAGGCACAATATCAAATACAAAGATTGTTATTATTTAAAACCAGCAGACAGTCCCATGTCCCAATATAAACGTAAATCAATAAAATATTAAATAGCTCAAAAAGAGTTCAAATAATTAACCTTTTTTTACTTTGATACTTTTGATACTTTTTTTATGCATATTAGGTTTGTCGTATCTCTTTGCAAATCCTTCACTTTTACTGATTCACGTTTATATTGAGACATGGAACTTTACTGCCAAGTAAAGTGATAGAAGCAGAGTCCATTGTGGGTTTCAAGAGGGAAATAAAAAGATACATGACAGATGAAGGCTCAAAGGAGTATGGGGATAGGAAGGGACAGCTTGTTCTGAGACTTGATGGACCAAATAGCCTTGTTACACGCTGTACATTTTATGATTCTATATTATTTAGTAAGAGAAAGAGAAAGTAACACAGATTTATATTTTCAAAGCAGTTTATTGGCAATCATTTTTGATCCATAGACTTCACAGGAGAAAGATGCCTGAAGTTGCTTAGAGATTATCCATGACACGACGGAAGGAGCCCACACTGGGTACAATTGCTCCCCAGTCGCTGAATCGCCTGTACTCTCCGGGTCTCATGAAGTACTGGCGGCCTCTGTAGTTGGGCTGATCATACATGGTCCAGTAGCCATCCATCACATTGCAGGAGTGGATGTCACGGTAGCGGAAACGGTCATAGACGGATGGACAGTCATCCATGAATTCCATCATCTGTCCTCCAAAGTCAGGTCTCTCGTACACCCTCATCTTATGGGAGCTATCTCTGGGCTGTAATTTGGCAGGACATCAATCAGTAAGGAGAAATGGGTGAGGAGCAAAATTGAGACAAATACATTCTTACACATCATAAATTCATGCATTCAACACTTGACAATTGAAAATCATATTTGTGAGTAGATTCTTATGCATGACATTAGGGGCCAAAAACAGCAGGAGCAATGTGAGGTGAGATAGAAAATGCTCATTCAAAATTCCATGCTGTTACCCTTCGCACAGTCTGTCTGCAATGAAGAGATGAAAGTGTCTGAACTGAGCTGTTTCTAAACACAAGCCTTTTAATAGCACAGCTGCACTTGCAGCAAACATCAACAAGATCCTGGCATGTGAGGGTACAAGCAATCATTCAGTCAATTGAACTGGCATCCAGGTCGATTTACTGAATGTTTCCTTGAGCCCCATATATCAGGTTTTCTATTTCGGAATTGGTTTATGGCAATAGTTATAAATAGCAACAAAGAATCGCGCAAACATATATCTCTTCAGTCTACCTAACACTACTGGGACAAGTGTTAAACATTAACAGGAAAGCAGGCAATGACTATTTGGTATGAGAACTTACATATCTGTACACGCGGCATGATCTGATGCTGTCATTATATCCCATCCAGCGCTGGTAGTCAGGATACTCTCCCTTGGTCAGAACATACTGGTATCCCTTGTAACTGGGTTTCTCATAGATAACCCAGCAGTCACTGTCAACGCGGATGGAGTTACAACGGCTGAAGTAAGACTGCAGGTCGGCACAGTCAGAGCTGCACTCATAGTGCCGTCCCTGGAAGTTCCTGTCCTCATAAAAGATGATCTGAAAGAAACAGGTGCTTATTTAGAAAAAAAATGAAAGCCACAAAATGAATGAATATGACGCATCTGTAAAACTGTCTAAGTTTAACAGTAAGGTTACCTTGCCCATTTTGTACATCAGTGAGTATACTCTGATGGCTGATACTCTGATTGATGGCTTTTTATATCTATCATTGAAACCACTGCAGCAATGATACCTTTTGTTATTTTAATGACCAAAATAAAAAGCTCTGTTTCATTCTCCTGCAACTTTTGTTAAAACAATCTGACTAAAGGATTTTAAACTGCTGGTCGTTTCTGTTGCTATGTTTGCAACAGGCACCGTGACAGCCGTTTGCAGTGTAAGAGAGCAACTAAATCATACAAGCTGCTGAAAATATAATCAAATTTGAATCTCTTGCACACACAGATACAAGTGGATTTAAGGGTGCAAGAGAACAACATTTGCTCTAGATGTTACAGACCCTCTCACCAAGTGTTTGGCAAGATCTGATTCTTATTAGACCACATCCAACGTCTGTTTGACAAATTTAGTGTCTTTATCTCATATTTTGTTCTGACATTTCGCAAGGTGTTTCATTCTTCAACTCCAATAGTAGTCTGCCACTTAAAGTGTCTATTGTCATTTCTTAAGCTACTTTGTATTCCTTCAGAGAATCTGTGCATTTGATGTAGCACCAAGAACAACTCAAGGTGCGTCACACAGTTTCTTTACAGTGCAGTGACTGTACCAGTAGGCAAATGCAGCAGCCAATTTGCTCACAGCGTGTCTCACAAACAGCCACAAAGTGAATAAACATTTTTTTATCTGGAGGACTGATAGGCAGGACAAAGGGAGAGACTTGCCTCTCTTTTCATATAGTGCCATGAGATATTTAACATGTGCCTGTATTAATCTCTAACAATGCAGTCCCAGCACATCTATTGTTTGTCATTTTTATCCTTTTGGGTCATTGGTGACCAAATGTATCTGATTGTATTACCTTTGTTCAAGTGAAGGTCCAAGAGAGTATCAATGCAGAGTTTTCCCTAAGAAGGTTTAACAGGTGGAGATGGAATCTATGATTGCATACATCTCAAAGTGCTTCACAAGATTTGTTGTAAAATGACAGTATATTTTGTACGCAAATACAATAGCTAATTTGGCATACAGCAATGTCCATGAAATTAAAGGACCAATTTTATCTGGGGGATTGTTGACCAGGAGCTTGGGAGAAATCCGTTCCTCTTTTTGAATAGTGCCATAGTGCCATTGTGTCTATACTGTCCACCTGAACAGGTAGATGGGAACCTTGGTTTAACATCCACAGGACTTTGCCTCCGGCAATGTTGATCTCCCCCCAGCACTGGATTAAACTGTCAATCTAGACTGTGACTTCAAAGTTCCTAGTGTGGGAGCTTGAACCCAGATCTGACTCAGAGGCAAGAGTACTCCCTTCCAAGCCAGGCTGACACCGGTTTCACATTTCCTAACAATAAATTGCATTATACTTTGTTTTGAATCAACTAGAAGTGATATTGATTCTACCTGCTTCCTCAGTAACTTGTAAAAAGGTATTTCAAATCTGTTGTCATTGAAAGCATCTGGGCTATACTTTAATGTTAGCAACTTCGGCAGATCTGGTAGCCATACTAATAGCATTTGCTTCACAAAAAGCTTGAGTACATTGTGTATCGTGTGAATGTATTTGTATTTGTTCGAACTTGTCTCCAAATAGGATTTGCAGTGAAGTGATTTGCACACAGGAGGCACAGGAGAACTGAATAGAAATAAATACTGTTTGAAATGTAGGCTGAAATCTCAGAGAATGCAAGGTGGGAGGAGGAGGTGAGCTTAATATTATTCATGAGTGGAATTTTAAGACCTAGAATCTGCTTTGATGGAGCTCAGTGCACTCAATAAAGACCAGGAGCAGAGTGAATCTGGAACTATCTGGTCGATCACTCTGTCAACTGGTTAGCTACCGGTCAAGTAGCTACTTAGTTAACTATTGGTCAAGTAGCTAACTGTGTTATTCATACAGAGTTGTGATTTTTACCATTTTCAGGGTTTTTTATATATTGTGAAAGAAGGTAAAGGACGTGCTTGCCAGGATTCATTTGATCTGTGAGATCTGTGGAGTTCTGTAGCTCAGTGGTTAGAGCACTCGCTTTGCAAGCGAGAGACATGGGTTCGATTCCCAGCAGAGCGAAACCTTGGGCAAGTTTCCTTACTCCACACACCTGATAATAATCCCTCAACAAGAAAAACAGTAATAAATTGGTCACTTCAATCCACGGCTGTTTGTGGGACCCTGCTGTGCACAATTGGCTGCCGCAATCCGCCAACAAATATACAGTCAATTCACTTTGCAGTATATTCTGTGAGGCACATTGAGATGTCTAGAAGATGTGAAAAGCGCTATATCAAATGCAAGGATTATTATTATATTATTATGTTCAGTGCGAGGAGACTGAACTGTTCATAAGGAAGACGAACAGTGAACAGTGAAACCTCCTTCAATTCGTCTGCTGTGGATCATTGGTTTATTCCGCAAAGTTCACCCACAAAATTCACTTGCCCCAATAACATTTGAAGAATTAGAAAGAGTTAAAAACTTCTGACTAGAAAGATCCAAATACAGTTTCTTGTTCCGGTCTGTACTTAGTGGACTGATCTCCACCATCGCAGGTTCTTGGTGCTAAAATCCCGCTCCTGAATACTATTAAGCTCACCCCTTCTGCCCCCTCCTTGCCGCTGGAGGATGTACATACCACATTGAAAAATTAAGAGTTACAGAATTGTTAGAACTTCTGTTTTTTGTAAAGTTTACTTGTGAATTCAGAAGCATGTTATGACTGTGAAGATTGCTTTAATTGCATCTTATGACTTACATGTTACACAAAGGTGGAAATGTTGACTCCTTCAAACACAGATTAGATAGTTTTCTTTTAGGAAATAACCTTATGGGATATAGAACATAGGTAGTTTGGGACATATGTGCATGCGACCGCCAGGAAGGTGTAAGGTGTAAGGTGAACTAGATGGTCTTTTTCTCATCCAGCATTTCTTATGTGCTTATGTCATATTCGTAAGTGCTTATTTCAGAATTCAAACACCTTTGCTGGCTGAAAGGTCAAGGCATTTTAAGCCGACCCTTCTGTTTTTTTATGAATAATCGCAGGTGGGAGCAAGTAAAATCCATGTTGTAGGGCATTTCTAAACTGCATGGACACCAACGGATTAAAAAAGTGAGGAGTGTAAAATGCATTGATAAGTTTCAAGCTTTTATTAGGTTGGTGTTATGAGGAAAAAAGCGATTTGGAATTTTAAAAGTCCTTCATACGCCTCATGGAGCCAACAATGGGGCAGCTTGCTCCCCAATCGCTGAATCGCCTGTACTGTCCAGGCCTCAGGAAGTACTGTCTTCCCATGTAGTTAGGATGTTCATAGAAGGTCCAGTAGCCATTCATCACATTGCAGGAGTGGATGTTACGGTAGTGGAACTGATCATACATGGAAGGGCAGTTATCCATGAATTCCATCATCTGTCCTCCGAAGTTAGGTCTCTCGTACACTCTCATCCTATAGGAATCACCTTGGAACTGTAATAAACACAGAAAATGAACACAGAATAAGTATGCATGGATACAGTTAATTTGGCAAAAATTTGCTTTTATATAGTACCCTTCACCTAGAGTGAAGTTTTGGGGCATTTTACAGAGACGATGCCGGGTAACGATGAGATTTTTTTGGTACGCCGAATGTTTGACTCATCACCGTGCTTTAGAGTATCCAAACCCAACTGAGAGTTCCAGGCATCCAAACTATACATGGAAATTCCAAAGATGTTGTTGACTGGAACGCGCACTTTCCCTGGAGCAACACATCCCACAAGGCTTGCCATTAAGAGCACTGCCTGGGAAGCTTTCCCGCTGCTTATCCAACTAGAACCATCCTACACGGAGGGCTTTGGCTTGCAGGTTAATGAGTACTGAATGGGAAGAGTTCCTGCCCTCAATCTGATCTGCCCTTGCAAGCTGATGAGCCAGGTTGGCTGGGCAGTGTCCTGGATTACTGCGGATCCAGCTGACACAGGAACTGGATCACTGAGACCATTACCGAGAGTGGGCTCGATTCTGACAATCCGTTGTCAAACATGTCACCATGGAAGGGGTTTGCCTCCAAGGAAAGCCCACTTACCTCCCCCGCCCCCCCAAGAAGGATAGTCACTACTTGGTTATTTGACATCCAACAAACACGGGTTTCAGCCGTCCTGCGAGCTTTCTGGTGGGCAACACAACTTAGCATGAAAAAGTTAGTGGGACCGAGGAGGATAGCTTCCATTTTGTCTCTATTCAGATGAACAAGGTTGAAGCTCGTCCAAGATTTGATGCTGGACAAGCAGGCAGTCAGAACATCAGTGGATCTAGAATCAAGGGTAAATATGGAGAAGTTGAATTGGGTGACATCCGCATACATGTGGAAAGGAACCCAATATTTGCGGATGATGTTGCCGAAGTGGGAGCATGTAGGCGCGGAACAGAAGTAGACTGAAGATTTATACAGAAACAAGCTACTAGCATAAGCAAAACAAGAGACCAGTGAGAAACAATCAACTATATTTAAGCAAGTAACTTATTTCGTTCGCTTTGAAAAATGTTTACTCCACGCTGCTGCACTAACTCAGGGAGATAACTTAAGCAGAAAAATCCTTGTGATTAACAGTCATCCCTACGTACGATTCAGAACTAATTCATTTTGATGCATTTAAGTATTACATTTCTAAATTTAGTTGACGATGCAACTATCCACAGTGAAGTGTCAGTAAAAGTGACAGAGCAGCATGTACTAATGAGAACTTACACCTCCATGCATGCGACATGAACCGATGAAACTATTTGAGCCCATCCAGTGATGGTAGTCAGGATACTCTCCCTTGGTCAGAACATACTGATATCCCATGTAATTGGGTCTCTCATACAGCACCCAGCAGCCGCTTTGGACGCGGATGGAGTTACAATGGCGAAAGTACGAGTGGAGATTTGGGCAGTCGAAGCTACACTCATAGTGACGTCCCAGGAAATTTCTCTCCTCGTAAAAGGCAATCTGAAAGAGAGAGATTTTAAATAGAGCAAAAGAAGCACCATTGAGGGAATTGAGGAATTTTAGCCCCAAAATATCTAAAATTGAAGCTTACTGTTCCCATGTTTGAAGTGGATCTAAAGGTTGTGTCTCGTGGAACCTGTCATGATTTGCAGACTGTTGGCTCTATATATTTCCACGGAAACTTGCAGAGTAGTGACAACTTTTGTTATTTTAATGACTTGACAGGCTCAACATTGGTGGCACACAAATGGAACAATTACCTGTGGAACAAAACTTAAATGCAATTTACACTTTTGACAAAAGACAACAGCACCTCCCAGAGGTTTTACCAACAAACAGCATGATCCTTCCAATGTAGAAGCATCCTATAGCTCAGCAGCAAATGCCTCACAGCGACAGTAAACTGAATGCACAGCATTGTCACACAAAATTGATAGAAAAATCCATTATTTATTTCCTATCGTTGGCTCTTCCACATTTGTACAGAAGCAAATAAAGATTTCTTCTGTCCTGAATGTTTGGAAACAAATAATGGAAAGAAATGCTTGTTGTCTATTAGTGTATTTTTCATTTGTTGGAAAATATTGTGTGTCAAAGCCATCTAAACCTGATGTGGAAAAAGCTTATATTTAAACACTTACCTTTAAACACCATCTAAATGTATGACAATCTTCCTCATGTATTCTTTTCTCTTCCATGCTACCCAGAAGGCTTTAGAAGTAGTTTTGGAAAATAGATAGGTCATGGGAATAATAATAGTCATTGCATTTGATATAGCGCCTTATCATGTCATTGATATGACTCAAAGCACTTCACAGAATATACTGTAACGTGAACTGGCTGCATATTTTGTGGGCGAAACACGGCAGCTAATTGCACAAACAGTCGTGGATTGAGTGACCAAATTATTATTATTTTTTTGGAGAGCTTATTACCCTCGGAAAGGGATCGACCAATCGACTCACAACTGGATTCCTACTTAATCTAGATAAACAGAGGCATGTGAAGAAAGGAAACTTACCAAAGGTTTCACTCTGCCCGGGAAACAAGCCCGGGTCCTCTCGCTTGCAAGGCGGGTGCTCAAAACAATATGCTTCAGGACTCCATGGGAAGTAATCTGGCTCAGTTAGAAGCACTCATGCCTCTGAATCAGAGATTGTGGCTTTAAGTCCCACATCAGGACTTGGAACTCATACCATGTAGCTGACACTCCATTACAGTGCTGTGGTGTGCTGCTTTATTAGAGGTGCTGTCCTTCGAATGAGATCTTCCGTTTGTCTGTTCAGACACTTGAGATCTCATAGCACTATTTGAAAAGAGAAGAATGTTTCTCTTCATGTTGTGGCCAACAACAATCAATTAAAACTGATGATTCACTTTATGGCTATCCGTGGGACTTAGCTGTGCTTGGCTACCATGTTTTCCCACAGGCACACAAGGTGTTTCCTGTGAAGTGCTTTGAGACATCCTTCTGATGCGAAGGGCGCTATAGCAAATGTAAAGGTTATTATTATATTAAGGGATATGGGGAAAAGGCACGGAAATGGGATTGGAAGATGTGCCAAGATAAAATAAGATGATGGAACAGACTCGATGGGTTGAATGCTCTCCCATTGCTATTCATGAATAAAAAGGCTCTGCTGTTTATTCAGGTTGTCCCTTCCACAAGCCATGTACATTGAATTCTACCCATTAATATCTTGTTAATACAACCTGTTCTCCAAAAGTAATCCTGCAAAAAGCTTGCGTATGTATCCTGACATTTCCATCAGTCAACATTCCCTAATTTCACCCATCTCTCTGGCCACTGCAGCACATAAACTAATATTCACACTCATCTCATGGTTGTTTGTGTAACTTTCATGATGCAAATAGCTGCTGTAACTGACAGTCATTACTTGTGATCAGCTTTGGGATATTTTACAGGAATCTTTGCATTTGAAAAAGTGTCTCACATGTCACTGAAATACATCAAAGTGCTTCACATGATGTGAGATATCGCTATCAATGCACACGTTCTTAAGAAATGCAGCAAACGTTTCTTCAGCCATTACAAGAAATGTTATAACTGGAAATTCCCCCTGAGTGTTATGTTGCAAATTCGTTTTTAAATTGTGTCAGGTAATTCAATGATGTTGACAAAGTTCATAGAGGGTTAAACTCTAGCAGTCCCCCAGCACACACTCTGAGGTCCCTTAATCTAGGTATTTGCCAATTTCCACCTAAAATCAACAACAGCAACAACAACAATTACATTTGTATAGCGTCTTTCACGTCTACCAGAAAAATTATTTGCACTAGTTGTATTTTATAAAGCAAATCATTCCCGAACTCATAACATCGCTGCCGCATTTACTGGCCGAATTGAAATACACATGCGCAGTATTCCATTTGAAACAAGCACGTGAAACAAAGTCTTGATCCGTTTATCGGTTGCATTGAAGTACGCCAACACAATGTAGTTTATTGATTATTTTACACAATTTGTGCAAGTTTGCCTGTAACTCATACTTCACATAAGTCATATTAAATCTTCCGGTCCTGACTGATATGACTTATGTGAGTTTTACTGTAATCAAGTCTCTCATATAACAGCCAGCAAGATGAAGTTGCAGGGACTGAGGTAAGATCATGTGTCAGGGGAACCAGCAGTTCGCTAAAGCGCTCTGGAACACTCCCCTGTGTGAGGGGCACTATATAAATGCAAGTTGTTCTTGTTGCTGAACTTGAAAGTCCCAAATCCTTGTAACAGCTGAGATTGGGGGAAAAATGTTATAACTTAAAAGCTGTTATTTCAATGTAACCAGTAAAAATATTAATGCCTCGCTTTTCCATTTTAAAAGTTAATGATGTAGTTCAGTGAACATCCAGTGAATTCATGTTTCACATAAAGCCTCCAGTTGACTGGCAACCTTCATGTTACCTCGGTTGGGTCCTTTGTGCAAGTCAACTGGCCCTAAGCCTTTAAGCTGTTGGTACTTTTTGATGATGCTTGCAGCTCATATATAATGTAGAGAGACAATTCTAACTGAATCTAAACAGATGACTTGCCTACTATGGATTACTGTGATCTCCAGGGACAATGTGCTTGTGAGATATCTACCTTATGAAAAGCTTTCACTGAGCCAACAGAATATCAGTCATCCCTATTTTTTGCAATGTGCCACCATTGAGTTTTTCCACACTGGTATACCACAGGTTACACCGCAGAGAGAAGCTCCCATTATCCTGATCCAAAAATGTATCAGAACCGCCAAAATAATGCTTCGCATTGTTACATATAGTGCTATACTGGAGTAAGGCAATGTTACTCCAGTGGTAGAGACTCATCAATTGTGAAATTAAATATAGTAAAAATCGCCTGTATAATAATAATATAATAATAATAAGAAGAAGAAGAATCCTTGCATTTGACATAGCACCTTATCACATAATTAAGATATTTCAAAGTGCTTCAAAGAATATGTTGTAAAGTGGATTAACTGTGTATTTTATGGGCAAAACATGTTAGGTTTGCTCTGAATTGTACTATCACATTATCTCCTCTATGTATTCAATTCACCTACAAAATGCACAGTCACTACACTGTATAGTAACTCCAGTGTGGCACTTTGAGACTTCCTATCAATGTGAATAATCATAAGAATATAATCCTTGCATTTTTAATTTGTGCATTTGATACAGTGCCTTATCACATCAGAAGGTCATCTCAAAGGAATTCCTGTGAAATGCAGTGATTATGTAGGCAAATGTGGCAGCACAATTGTGCACATGAGTGTCCCATAAGCAGCCATGAAATTGTTGGCAAGACACCAGGAGAAAATACTTTTCGAATAGTGCCATGGGATCGTTAAGTTTTATGTCTTATCTGAAGGACGGCATCTCCAACCGTGCAATACCCCTTACCACTGAGTCAAGCTAACACATAATAATAATTCCTGCATTTTATATAGCGTCTTTAAAGTTGAAAACATGTCTCAAAGCAATTCATAGGATTCACTGTAAAGTGTTCTTCCTCTATTTTTGCAAAATGTTATATCAAATACAATTATTTTATTTATCTTGCTTCAATCAGGAATGTGCAAATATTATACTATTTAGTGGACTTACAGAGTTGTATCCGTGGCACAATCTGATGTTGTCATTGTAGCCCATCCAGCGCTGACAGTCAGGATACTCTCTCATGTTCAGAATGTACTGATATCCCATATAATTGGGTCTCTTGTACAAAATCCCGTAGTCGCTGCGAATGTGGATGGAGTTACAGTGGCTGAAGTAAGACTGCAGGTCTTCACAGTCAGTGATGCACTCATAGTGCCAACCCTGGAAGTTCCTGTACTGGTAAAAGATGATCTCAGTGGCACAAGTTTAATAAATTAACAAAATACTAAATTATTTTCGATAGTATTGGTGAAGCTCTAAATATTTGATGTGATAGAAACCCTATTGCCTAAGATCATGTCCTCTTGTCTGAGAGAATGAAGAATCTGAGATTGACAGAACCTGTGGCTTTTTATACACATTGTACAACCTTTATTAGTTAAACGAGTGCACAAAATAGACCAAGCAAGCGTTGCAAGTGTAACAGATATGCATTCAAAAAGTCACTTTGTCCTTTCCTCTCCTTTGTATCTTTCACAATCATATGTACAAACGTACACAGTTCAAATTATTTATTACAATACAACTTCTGGATTCCTCAACTACATCCTCAGACACAGCGATCAGCAATGTGGCAGACCTCTGGTAAAGGTGGAAATTTGTCACATGAGCGTGAAATTCGAAATTCCATCAATTATACAACCTGTATCGTTTTTGACCCCATTGTACAAACTTTATTAGTTATTATTCGTATAATCTTTATCAGTTAAACAAGTAAACTAAATAGTTCCCAAAAAACATTTCATGTGTTGCAGGAATAACAAGTAGCTATTCGAAAAGTGCCATTGTCCTTTTTACTTCCACTGTACCTTTTACAACAATAATAATTAAAGTAATAAAAATAACCATTACATTATATGTAGTGCCTTTCACCTCAGGAGGATGCCTCAAAGCCCTTCACAAAAAATACTGTGAAGTTCAGTGACTGTGAGCGAATGTAGTAACCAATATATTTGTTATGCCACATACAGCTCTGGACAGCTAATAATAATGAAGGTATAAGTAGTCCCATTTCGTCTTAGCCTGTAAAACATATCTTGCTTTGAAATTTAAAAATTGCGCAGAATTTTTTAAATTCAGTCTTAATTTCGAAGCCAGTTTCCTTTTTTTTCTCGAAAAAACAGTATCCAAAATGAAAACGCAGTCGAAGAATTTTCCGCAAGTCTTAAATTTCTAGACCAAACGGTCTCAGAAAGCTAAGCAGGTTAAACTGGCCTGTCCATCACAATCTGTTTTGGATCGTAGTGAGATTTTGAATGACATCCCTCACACCTCGCTTTAGAATTCACCGACAACAACAACAACAACAACAAATTATACTTGTATAGCGCCCTTCACATCAGAAAGGGCTCTGGTAACAACAATTCATGCTGCACCTTTTGTTGCTTCTGCTGAAAGAGTCTGGAATTCTGGTTGTTGTAAAGCCACAATAAAATGGAGTTCCATTGTCCATACTGAGAAATTCAAAAGTAAGTTGTGAGGGAATTCAGCAA